AGTTATGTTTTGTATAACGCAGAATCTAATACTTCTACTATGGAATATTTGTCGGCATGGCTAATGGAATCGACGCAAATGACTGATTATGCTGGTGAGAAAGCAAGAAGTAATATAATGTCTACATTGCAAAATAGGAAATTTTCATTGATTTTTGCCCATAATACAAATTTTGGTATTTCTTGGTCCTACTTATTTATTTAACAACATCTCACTGTCACAATTTATATTTATAAATCCATTGTATACACAGAAATCAGAGATGGGAACCTGTCTTTATTTAATGAAATGAAAGCTTTATTCAGCAACGAATTGGAGCTTTTTTACGTTAAATCTACTTGTCATTCAATGCATCTTTGTTGTACTCACATTTGTGAACATTTACCAGGACCAATTGAAACTCTTTGTTGAGATATATCCAAATTTTTTCCAACAGTCCAAAATGTGTTAACTAGCTCAAAGAATTTTAAGATTATTCTTCAGTGAAACTTCACAAAGTTTTAAATATCAGTAACAATAGATAGTTTTCACTAGAGCCATTGATATTAAGAATAATAGAGCAGAGGAATACTTTAAAATTAAACTTTATTTCTGATTTTTAAAAGTTCAGGGATTACGACCCATTATGACCCACATATACCAATTTTTGGACATATTCATGGGAAAATGTGCCAAAAATCGTCAAAATTCCGAATATCGGGAAATACGGCTATATGAGGCTATACAAAAACATGGACCTATACATACATTGTTTCGCCAAAAGAGCTAGAACCCATTATGAACTACAAATACCAATTTCTAGACAAATCCGTGAAAAAATGTGGCAAAAACCATCAAAATTCCGAATATCGGAAGGTACCGTTATATGGGGACTATACCGAAACGTGAACCGATATATCTCATTTTCAATACCAACCATTCTAGATACACAAATTGCGCTGATAAATGTTGGCGCTCTACGTCAAATAATGTGGGCTGTTTCGTGATTTCAACAGACAGACAGATGGAAGGACATCGTTAAATCGACTTAGAATTTTATACTGATTATGAATATATATACTTTATGGGGTCTACGACGAATATTTAAGGATGTTACAAACTGAATGACAAAGTTAATATACCCTCCTTTCCAAGGTGGAGGGTATAAAAATAATGTGAATCAGATTGATGTTGCAATGATATTTATAGTTGCAAAAGCGGAACGTTTTGCAAAAAAGATTTTGAAAGTATTTTGTTTTTATTTTAGCAGAAGTCGGGTCTACTTAAAAAAAATTGTAATCAGCTGGTAGCTCTACTTTACCTTTTTATTGTACCATGGTCTGAACATTTGGAACAACTCTAGTTTAGTAAAAACTCTTCGATTTTTTCGAAATTTTTCCCAGAGGTAGGTATTTTTGCACTGATTCCGGGAAACTATTTTTTTTTGTTGGGGGACGGACCCGGGACCCCGGATTTTTGACCCGAAAATCCGGGTTTAAGACCCGGCCTGAAAATACATATCCATCAAGTGATCACATTATGGGGTAAGTGGTCACGGTTCGGAAGTTATAGTCAAATTATCGATTTTTTGGACCCGGTTTTTTTGTAAAACCGCCAAAAAGTCAAAAAAGTGCCCATTATGAGGGTCAACAAAATGATGCCAAATTATAGCTGACACTCATACCTTTTCAAAATGCTGCAATTTGTGCTAATACCTTTACTGATTCTAACCAGTTCCATAAAATTATGTTTTCAATAAAAAAAAGGTTTATTTCGCGTAGCCGTCGTTGGATTACAAAAGCACCACATTTAGAAAACTTTGGTTCGCGTAAGCCGGTGTTGGACATATTCAGAGATTGAGATTTTCTTCTCTGAGTATGTCCCACACCGGCTAACGCCAACTAAAGTTTTCTAAATTGGATACCTTTTGTACGTGGAGAGCCTTCGGCCGGGGCTTGAGATTTTCTCCTCTGAGTATGTCCCTCACCGGCTAACGCGAACCAAAGTTTTCTAAATTTGACACTTTGATAGGTATTTTCATAAGCTTTCCAACAATACCTATTGTCTATATCGGGTAATTGAATCCGGGTCAAGTCGGAGTCTTGAACACGGATTTTCGTGTCAAAGATCCGGGTCCGTTCCCCAAGAAATCCCGGGATCAGGGTAAAAATACCTACCACCGGAAAAAATTTCAAAGAAATTGAAGAGTTTTTACTAAACTAGAGTTAAGCCAAATTTATATAAAAATGAATGATGGAGAATCGCATACGCCATTGTCAGAACGACATTAATGCATTTAATTGATAATTGCACTAGTCTGAACATTGCGATATCCCAAAAATTTTGACTGTTCATATTTTTATTTAGTTAATTTAATTTGACAGCATCCCATTGTCAAAATTTATACTTGTAAATCCATTATGCATACACAAATCAGAGAACCTGTTTTCTACGTAGGGAACCTGTTTTCTACGTGGTGAAATTTGACATGGTAAATTAGAGGAAATGCAGAGATGGATATGCTTATCCGAATTTGCACAAACAGATTTCCCATACAAAAATAGATTTATTTTAAATCTGATGGGGAATCTGCATTTGGAATGTGTGTGGTATACAAATAAATTTATCAATTTAGCTCCCATATATATTTTCGGCCCAATTTTAATAAAATGTGTGGCGGAATTTGGTTTACAAATAAATTTGTTAAATCATATTGACAAAATCATATCAGATCTGGATATATCTCTCATATTAATTTACAGCAGATTTCGTCCATTTATATGCAACACTAAGAAAAGTCGTTCAATGGATAAAGTGCTTCAATCATAAAAGATCATAATTTTTATAAGTGTACTACGGCCCACAAAAAGTCCTTGGAAGCTCTAGATTGTACCTTGCAAGATTTGAGAAACAACACTGCACTCTTTTGAGGGGCATTAGTTTTATTAGCCAAAGCATTGCATGTAAAGAAAAGGATGGGCCTTCTTTCTATGTGGCTTGCTCCCAACCATTAACTAGATATCTAACTCATTTAAAGGGTTACGAAAAAACAACATTGTCCATTCAAAAATATGACAGACAGAAGAACCATACAAAGGTAGGGAAATTTTTTAATAATAAACAACAAAAACACAACCATGTCAAGCTTTTGCCGAGTATACTCTAGTTATGTTTTGTATAACGCAGAATCTACTACTTATACTAATGGACTATTTGTCGGCATAGTTAATGGAATCGACGCACATGGCTGGCTAGTATAATATCTACATTGCAAAATAGGAAATTTTCATTGATTTTTGATGAAACAACGGGCATGCCCATAAAAACATACATTGTCCTTCTTCAACTTTTTTTGATCCAAATTTTGGTATTTCTTGGCCCTACTTATGTATATGACAACATCTCATTTTCACAATTTATATTTATAAATCCATTGTATACACAGAAATCAGAGATGGGAACCTGTCCTTATTTAATGAAATTTGATAAGTTAAATTACAGTAATTTTTTTTAATGACTTTACCTCGTTAATTTTACCATGCGATCAACATTCCTTTAAGCAACAGTTCTAGCAAGAGAATGGAGAGGGTCTTATGACTGGACAGTTTGGCGGACTGAAGGCTTTATTCAGCAATGAATTCAGCGGTGCTCAAGAAGAAATATCTCTTTTCAGTCAAATTTCTCTTTGCTTATTTAAATCAAGAACAAAACAGTGTTAAGTCTTTATTTATACAAATATTTTTTATCCATTTGCTTTATAAATTATTTTGGCAAACATTCGTGTTTAAAAACAATTAAATAGAACCGTAAAATATAAAGAAAAACAGATTTTTAATTTTCTCTTAAATTATATCTTTTTTCTCTTCATGTTCTAGAACACGGTTTTGAGCACCGCTGAATTGGAGCTTTTTTACATTATATCTATTTGTCAGTCAATACATCTTTGTTGTACTCACATTTGTAAACATTTACAAGGCAATTGAAACTCTTTGTCGAGATATATCCAATTTTTTCTCCAACTGTCCAAAATGTGTTAACTAGCTCAAAGAATTTTAAGATTATTATTCGGTGAAACCTCACAAAGTTTTAGGTATCAGTAACAATAGATTGTTTTCACTAGAGGCATTGATATTAAGAATAATAGAGCAGTGGAATACTTTAAATTAAACTTTATTTCTGGTTTTTAAAAGTTGAGGGAATACGACCTGAATATATTGCAGAAAGAATGAACAACCAAACCAGAAGCTATTTCTTATTTTTATTTTACATTCTACCCATTACTAACAATCTAAATAAAGGGTTTCAATCCGAGAGTTTGCGTTAGCACTATTTGTACTCGAGCATGAATTTAATTTTAATCGATTTTATAAAAAAATACCCAATTATTGACAATATAGAATATAGTAAATATAAAAATAGTTGCAAAGCGGAACTTTTTGCAAAAATAGTAGTAATTAAATATTATATTTAAATTTCAATATTGAATTTTGGATCAAATATTTTAAATAACGATAGTTAGGCAAAAAGTTTGTAAAATTAAAAACTGATTGAGTAAAAACTGTTTTCATGATCTCGCAAACTTTGTTTTTAACTTGCTTATTTACTACATAGTTCTGCTGCTAATAACTACAAGGCAAAAAAGTAAACTAGGAACAAATACAATCAATAGTATAATGCTAAGTAAAGAACTGATTAGAAATAGCAATCCGCACTAAGTGTGGCCGGCCAAAATAGACAATTTTATAACAAATCCACATATAAATAACTTAATATGTTGTTTTTTTAATTAAATCCATTTTTTTTTTTTCTAAAAAAAGTATATAATACACAGACTGAATTTCAATATGAAATTCAATATGTTTGTATATTTAAATAATTGATTTAAATCACAACAATTTTTTTCATTTAGTAATTTGGTCGGAATCCATTAGTCATTTTGTCGGATTTTGGGGAAATTTTTTGGTCGGAAAATTTTTCCTCTTGTGGCAACGCTTTATTGTACACATTACTAGTCCAGGGCCTCAAAGTTCTCTTGAATGAATTATTCAATTGAATTGGTTTGTTTCTGAACTTGACTAATTTACGCGAAGTATGAACTTATTTACGCGGAGTATGAACTTTTCCATAAGATTGTTTCGTAATTATTGTACTTGGAGACAATTGAATTTCAATAGATTAAAGCATCCTACAAAAATCCCGCAATGCTATGAGACGAATATAACAAAATCCAACAACATAAGGATTGATTCCAAAACATTGCAATTGCTAGAGAGGCTTTCATTAGTAAATTTGGACGGACGTGAAGCTTTTGAAGTATTGCAGAAAAGCATATGTTTTGCTGAAAGTATTGCTAACACGGATACTGACAATATTAAACCGGTCTATAGAATTTTATTCGAGGAGCCCCTATATTTACGCTTGGATGTAGTCACCGAAGGGAATTGTCGAGATGATATATTACAGAACGCTCAAGTCACCGATGAGGATTATTTTATAGCACCTCCGGGCAATGTCCCATTACACCAAGGCAACGTGTCACTGTAATCTCTTAAGGCTTAATAAATAATACCGAATGAACATGCCGAATTTGTTTTCTGTTCATTTCAATCCATTTCCAACGCTGAGGCGCATATTATTTATATTAAATTAATTTCTTTATTGGTTGGTTCCGGGTATTGGAAAGATCCGGGTATACTGCGCGGGCGATCAGATGCATAGCAGTGTTAGGCACAAGCTTGTTAAACCGATACAGGCAATATTGGTATCATATAAATGAAGAAAATACTTTTTTTTAAGTTTTTGGTCAATATTACAGATAACACCACACCAAGAAAGGGGAACCCCGCTGGTAACTAGTGATTCTGGCAATTCATGAGGCAACATTGATGTCATGAAAAAAATCAATATAAGCAGGAAGTTTCTCTATTTCGTTTTTGTTGATGAAGTCCTCAGTGGATCTTGAGTTTCCAATAAGCTGATGTGAATCCTTTATTGTAGTAAAACGGCGGCAATGAAATATAATATGATCCACATATTCAACGTTACATGTTTCACATAAAGAGGATGGCGCAGCATTCATCCTTTCAAGAGTCGCGTTGCAAAAGGCGTGGTTCGTGACAATTTTGCTTATCGTTTTAATATCAGCTGGAGCGGATCTTATACTATGGACACAAGCGTTTGGTGACCTCAAAGTAATGAGAGGAGCTGTTTAAGCCTATGTTTGTATTCGCTTTTCCACTCTGACCATAAATCACCATCTATCTTCCAATTTCCCTCTCCCTTTTGCTTTTGTATGCATTAACCTTTACTAACTCTTTAGCAGCAGCCAAACGAAACCTGTAATTGGGTGGTAACTCCACAGCCACGTGGAATAGACATGGAACAGGTGTGGACCGGATTTAGCCAATGATTTCCTTATCAATTGCTAATTGAGCTTTTGATTCAGTTAAATGAGCCTTTATTCGCATTAGCTAGGGTAGCAGAAGCATACTCTACTTTATACAAAATGCCCTACAAAGTTGTAGAGATTTGCGGTGGACGACACATAATATATTGAGAAATTTATTTCTTTTTTCAACCCCAGAATATCCCAGATATTTAATTTGTCTGACCTGTTCAATCTCAGTACCTTCTTGTCTAAAATTTAACTGACGACGTCGCCTATTAAAGTGCATAACTGATGTTTTACTAACGTTGAGACGAAAGTATATTTCATTACAACGAGATTATAACTCTGAAATCTTGACATCTAGAAGTGTTCTGGCGGCTTCAAACTCCCGATGAAATACAAGCAAACAGAAATCATCCGCATATTGGGATAAAAAACAGTTCTCCGACTGAATGTTATCCTCTGGAATTTTACGGTTTTCCAAATGTCACATAAAATATTGAAGAAGGTTAGGAACGCGGAGGATTTTTTTAAGGTAATCATATAATATCAGGTCTAGCGCTGGAGCTGAAGCATGGCTTCTTGATTGAATAAAATTTTGGAGTGTCTCAAAAGAAAACTTTGGTATATCAGTATTTGAGGGTGCTATTCCTACGACCCTCAGAAGGTCCTTCTTCAAAACCGGCAGTCAACTCTTCGGGAATGTCTAATACGGAGTTGTCGGTAGATTCTTCAATAGTATTTTTCTCTGACGCCATCAAACAGTCCTCTCTTAATATATCGATATATTCCTCTGACCAATCCTCTCCATAGTCGTCAGTAGATATTGAACTCGGGTTGCCCCTAACAAGACTTTGTTGATAGACATGCATATAGTCTCTACTGGAAGCTGTGGCTAATAAGTCGAGGAATTTCCTCTTTTGCCGTTCGACCAAAGAGTGGTGTATACTTTTGAGTTGCTTATATTTTTATGATTTTGTTTGGATGAGGTGCTCTGAGAGATCTCCTGGACTATACGGTCAAAGTTTTGGATCTTTCATTGTTGTACCTTTAGTCTGAGCGCATCTTCAGCCTCCGTGTAGGCCCATAGGTCTTGAAGGGTTATGCCCTTAAAATATTTCGATCTTGTCGCCTGCCTTATTCTAAACAGTTCTGCACTTCTTCATTCCACCACATTTTCGGAACATATTCATGGGGCCTAACCTAATAGTGTTTCTATTGAAGATCTCACGAACTCTATTGTTAAATTCCTGAATGGAGCTACCTACGTCCACTTTAGCGATCTCTTCCAAGACTACTTTTCTATTAATCCTTTGGACTTGCACCGAAATCCAAAATAATGGGCAGATGATTACTGTTAATAAGTTTTGTTGTGTTAAAAAACCAAGAAGGTATTTTACTAAGATTTTTCGCAAACGTTAAATCCAAAACCGAAGCATGTCTATCCTGCAGACGAAAGGTAAGTTTGCCATTATTGAGACAAGAAAAAGCCACTTGTTGCCACTACATCGCTTAAAATAAGTCCACGAGAGTCAGATATCGAATCACCCCAGGCTACTAATCTGACATTGAAATCGCCCCCTATCACAACTGTTATTTGGAAATTAACAAAAGTATTAACTATTAGTTTGAAGGTATTTCTCGAAGTGTTCGGAGGAATGTAAGTCACTACAAAGATAAAATTGTTTCTTAAGTTTAACGTTTTAACACCTAGCACCTCCATTTGAACATCAATGTTGATATCAATGAGAGAGAAAGATATATTCCTTCTTAGAAATATCCATACTCCTCCATAGGCATCTGAACGATTTTTAAAGGCAAAGTTGAAATTGGTTAGGTTGGAGGTTGAATTGTTATTCATCCACGTCTCTGTAATTAGTGCAACATCAAGAATATTTTTTTTTTCTAAAAAGAGTTCCAACAGATCTTTATTATTTTTATACCCTCCACCATACTATGGAGGGTATATTAATTTTGTCATTTCGTTTGTAACTCCTCGAAATACTCATGTCAGACCCAACTAATTATATATATTCTTGATCAGCGTAAAATGTTAAGGCATATCCGATAGAAGGCTAAAATTTTGCACACATGTTTATTTTGCCAGTAGGCAGGTTAAGTTCGTAAATGGTCCACGTTTTCATATAGCCCCTATATAACGGTACCTCCCGATATTCGGTATTTTGATGATTTTAGCGAACCGGAATTGTTTCCAATTTGGTATTTGAAGTTCGTAATGGATACTACAGATTAAGACAGAAAATGAGCCATGTAGGTCTACGACTTCGTATAGCCCCCTGTGGTGTGCACCTGTAAGAGGGTTAAGCTTTAAATAAAAGAAGAATTTAAGACTAGCCATTCACCAGAATGAACTGGTGAATATAACAATTGTCAAATGTCATGAAGGGGAAATAAAAGAGAGAGGGGAATAATTGTAGGGGAAAATGGAGGGTGGCTTGTCAAAAAACGAGGAGGAAGATGATCCTTTTTGATGAGACCTGCAAAGAAGATTGGACGTGTGGCTCCCGTGAATCCCAACAAAGAGAGTAAAAGTAGTTGGTGCAAAATAATTTTTATTAATAAATCAAAATCAATGCTATTATTATTAAAACCTATAATTGGCACAACTAATTATATTTAACTAAGCAAGATAATGAGCTAAGTAAAACTATATTAATACATATAGCTCTTACAAAAATAGTGCTTTAAAAAAAATTAAAGCGAAAGCAAAGCTGTAAGAAAAACTGAAATACAAAAAAAAAAAAACTATGAAATAAACACTGCTTAAAATATCAAAATTAATACAAATACATAAAGACTTTAAAAACTCTAAAGAAAGCGAAGAAAACGCAACACCAACAACGACTGGAGGCCACACCGGGAGTCCACTCAACACCGTTTAATCCACCGTGGGAGGTGCTGTGTTTATGCATGACCAGACTGGCATGCATGGGTATTATTCTCGATCCTAATAGACAATCTTACATCATACTCGGACAGACAGACGGACGACAAGCCAATTAATTAGATTCCGCATACGAAAAGAAAGAGAAATTATTGGAAAAGGCTAAACAAAAGGATTTAAAGTTAGTTTTACTTACCGTATTATCGGAATAGGTACAGAACTCCGAATCGAGCTCCATTCAGGGTTAGGCCACCCTAGCATCCCTACTGTTGCCCTTATCGGCGACAAATTTAGTGTTGGTTATTCTTTTGTTCGCCCTTTTTACCTGAAAAAGAAAAAACAATTATATTTAACATAAACAAGCAAAAATAAAATAATAATAAGCGTGAATATAATTATAGTGCAACTACTTTAAACGTACGAAGACATACTCGTTTATTTGGGAAAAGGTTGATACCCGATGTACGCCACTTCCACAGACTCCTCTAGCTCAAAAGGGGAAGAAAGAATTTTCCTGGTGCCATCGAGACCTGAAAAGAAATAAGAAATATTTTATTGTATTTTTTTAACAGCACAATTTATATATTTTCCTTATCATGAATTGTATTTAAAGAGGATGAAAAAACATATTGTTTTTTTTTTGAATACTTTAAAATGAATAAATTTTATAACGATATTTAAAAATTCTTGATTTCAATATGGAAATATACTAGACACAAGGTAAGAAAACGTAGGTCCTAAACAGGTAGGGGGAAGTATGGGGTATTCCAGGAAATAGAATAGGAGAACAGGGGTACCTTGGTGGGGTGGGAATTTCTCCAGGCATGGTGCATTACAAAACCGTGCCAAATTAACCGGTTATTCAAACCTATTATAAAAGCTATATAATTCGTTGTAATTTTTTTGTCACCCCCTAGCAATAATTTTTAGTTTTTTGTCCACTCTTCCAAGTTCTAGCACATTGACAAGAACTGCGGCCCCATAGACTGAGCTGTCGCCGGTGCAAAAATTTGTCAGCTAGCCAGCCGTCAGTGTGGTAGATCTGCCCCCAAATGATAGAGGTCCCCAGGACAGGACACCCTATATAACGGTACTTCCCGATATTCGGTACTTTGATGAATTTAGCGACATTATTCACCAGAATTCTTTTAAATTTGGTATTTTATGTTCGTAATGGATGCTACAGCCTATGTCAGGAGATTGTCTGTGCAGGTCCACGTCTTCGTATATCCCCCCTACAACGGTACCTCGCAATATTCGGTGATTTGATGATTTTAGCGTCATTATTCACCGTAGTAGTTTCAAATTACGTATTTAG